CACTTGCTATACTAAATATGTTACGATTCCATTTCAATGTTTCTGATTACATTGTTATATTTACTTTTTATAGATTTGGATTTATTTTAATTTTGATTTAATTATTTTGTTTGCCTTCCATTGGAATTGAGCTGTACTGTTTACCATATCGTTCAATTCATGAATATAAGTAAAGATGCTACACCTGTGACAGGTAAAAACATGTTTTTTTTTTTAACAGAGCCATCTGATGCACATAAGAGCAACACATGCTATACTGAATATGTTATGATTCCATTTCAATGTTTCCAATTTCATTGATAAATTGAATTTTCGTAGATTTTTATTTATTTTAATTTTAATTTTATAATTTTGTGTGAATTTGTATTGGAATTGAGTTATATTGTTTACCATACCGTTCATTTTGTGAGTATAGTTTATTTTTTATTTTTCATTTTTTTCATTTCGTTTTTATAACTGTTTTTCTTATATTTTAGTGATGGGAACATCAGATCATTTGATGTTCCCAATTTTCTGATGGGAACATCAGATTATTTGGGAATGTATCGAACAAGGGAGAGGGGAATGGTAGGGAGGACGAGGGGACAGGTGTAATGATCTGTACCTGTACCATGGCTTCTCCCCTCTCCCTTTTCTCCCATCCCTCCTGCTCCCTTTCCTCTTGTCCTTGTTCATTCACCCCTTCCCTGTTGCCTCATTCCCCTTCCCTTTTTCGCTCCTGTTGTCTAGCCATTCCCTTGCCATAAAACTTTTGGGATCAGGTGTCCTTCCTGGGAGACCACCCCAGTCCAGTCCTCTTCCAATCTCCTATTCCATAATCCCTCCCTCCAATCCTATTCCTAATCCCTTCCAATCCATCCGTCCCAACCATTTCCTCTCCTTCTCAGTCCTCTCTCTACAACCAGTAACGAATCGAGTGGTTCCCTAGTTGCCATAAACTCAGAGTCAGCCACGGTCTGGAACCTCTGGCGCCATGTCCGGGCATGTGAGCATTGGGAACGTATGAGAACTCTGTCAAGGGGAATTGACCCTTATGGTCAAGCCTGGTTCTGTTTGGTTGCAGCCATGAAGGGCTAGGATTCTTGGCCCTTGTTGGCTTAGGACTCAAGAGACGGAGTCCCCCAGGGTAGGACCTGACCATTCTATTGGCCAAGCTTCCAGAGCACCCAGTTGTGTTTAAATCCATTGTCTATAGGCTTGGAAAGGCGGGGTTAATTGAACCTAGGAACTAGGTGGGGGGAGTTTGTTGTCCACTGGTAGAGTTTAAGAAAATATTAAAGTTAGTGTGTCTGTGGGAGTGACTTGCGACAGGTTCCCTCAGGGCCTGAGGGCAGTCAGTAACATCTTTGGCAGATTGCAGCATTAAGGTAAAGTGTGCTGGAGTGTTCATGTACATCTTTGAATCAAACTGTTGCCTCTTAGGATATTTTATTTAGAGTAGGCTATATTTTCAAATTTTATTTAAATATTTGATTTCAATTAACGTGTTTAAATAAATAAAGTGTATTTGGTTAATTTGTGTTTAGTTATCTGTTCCCTTTGATTAATGCTGAATTATTCATTCTTATTTATGGTTTTCATTTTGCTGTGCTCGAAATTCCCCTGTGTTCTCCTCCATTTTAAGGATATTAGAGTTGTCCTTGAATCCTCAATCAGTAAAGTAAAGATTACATTTTGTACTCCCAAGCATTTTACCCAGATTCCTATACCCCTTGAGTTCATGATTATTGACTTCTGCCCTTTCTGGGAGGTCAATAAAAGACATATTCAGATTCTGAATAGGGAGGTGATGGCAGTGTTTATAATGAGTTTTTATTTATTAGTTTTAAAATAATAATCCCTTCTCATGTTGTTCCCCCCTCATTTAATATTTCAGAGTTAACTAATTAGCCTGTTGTTCATTGGGGGTCATATTGATCTGCAAGCAGTGTTAAGCTGGGATGTTGAGTGAGTGAAGGGTGTAAAGAAGATAGGCAGGCGATGAGTCACAATAACGTGGCTAAAGTATGTTGACCAGACCACACACTAGAAGGTGAAGGGACGACGACGTTTCGGTCCGTCCTGGACCATTCTCAAGTCAATATGATCGACTTGAGAATGGTCCAGGACGGACTGAAACGTCGTCGTCCCTTCACCTTCTGGTGTGTGGTCTGGTCAACAAAGCAGATAGGGGTGTAAGTGTGGGATGGTGGGGAGGACGAGGGGACAGGGGAGTGGGTTATAGTGGGGAGAACGAGGGAAAGGGGAAGTTGGGGATGGTAGGGGGGCAAGGGGACAGGGGAATGGAGAACATTGGGGAGGACAAAGAGGAGAGTGTGGGATGGTGGGGAGGACGAGGGGACGGGGGAGGGGGGAATGGTAGGGAGGACAAGGGGACGGGGAGATGGTGGGGAGGACAAGGGGGTCGGAGGAATTGGGAATGGTTAGGAGGACGAGGGGATGGTGGAGTGGGGGGTGGTGGGGAGGACAAAGGGATGGGGGAGGGGGAAAGTTGATGAGGACTAGGAGACAGGGGAAGGTTGCTGTGGCTCAGCAACGCACATGTGTTGCTGGGTAACAGCAGTGTGTGGCCAGGTACAGCTAGTCTATATAAATAAAAATGTAAATGATCGTTTGTTCAAAATCGCTAATCTCCAAAAGTTTTTCGTTGATTGTTTTCAAATTTTCACACAATGTTCCATTCGCATCTGAGAAAATTTTTATATACATACTATATTGATGTCACGTCCGTGACGGGAAAAATACACTTTTTTTGAAAAACTGTGTTTTTCATGTGAGGGGGAAATTTTCAAAATCTCTTTACTGATTACTTTGAAATTTCGACACAACGTTGCATTCAAATACCTGGTTGATGGGGTTCTGGGAGTTCTTCTACTCCCCAAGCCCGGCCCGAGGCCAGGCTTGACTTGTGAGAGTTTGGTCCACTAGGCTGGTTGGAGCGGTCCGCAGGCCCACATACCCACCACAGCCCGGTTGGTCCGGCGCTCCTTGAAGGAAACAATCTAGTTTCCTCTTGTGTTCTTGTGTATTCTTGTAGAATAGGTGCATGTTTTTATATACCTTTTATGTACATACTTCACCTGTGACAGGGATTTTTTTTTTTTTTAAACAGTGCCATCTGTTAGACGTAAGAGCAACACATGCTGTAATCTCTGAAAGTTCTTCACTGATTGCTTTTAAATTTTGACACAACGTTCCATTCGAGTACGGGTATGTTTTTATATACCTACTAAATAGATGCCCCACCTGTGACAGGTAAAAACATGCTTTTTTTTAAATAGCACTATCTGTTGCACGTAATAGCAACACATGCTATACTAAATATGTTATGATTCCATTTCAGTATTTCCGATTGCATTGATAAAATGAATTTTCATAGATTTCGATTTATTTTCATTTTGATTTAATTATTTTGTGTGACATTGCATTAGAATTGAGCTGTGTTGTTTACCATACCGTTCATTTTGTTTGTATAAGTATAGATGCCACACCTGTGATAGATAAAAAACATTCTTTTTTTTAAGCAACAGCGTCATCTGTTGCACATAAGAGCAACAAACGCTATACTAAATATGTTATGATTCCATTTGAATGTTTCCGATTGCATTGACAAATTGAATTTTTAGTAGATTTCGATTTGTTTTCATTTTGATTTAATTATTTTGTGACATTGCATTGAAATTGAGCTGTGTTGTTTACAATACCGTTCATTTCGTGAGTATAGTTTATTTTTATTTTTTATTGTTTTTCATTTCGTTTTATTACTGCTTTTCTTATATTTCAGTGATGAGAACATCAGATCCTTTGGGAATACATCTGACGAGAGAGTGGGGAATGGTGGGGAGGACAAGGGGACGGGAGTGGGGGATGGTAGGGAGGACGAGGGGACAGGGGAGGGTGTAATGGAATGGTGGGGTGGACGTGGGGATGGGGGAGTTGGGATGGTGGGGACAATGGGAATGGAGAATGATGGGGAAGACATGGGTGACAGGGGAGTGGGGAGTGGAAAGAGAGGACGAAGGGATGGTGGAGTGGGAGATGATGGGGAGGATGAGGAGACGGGGAATGGGGAAAAGGGTGGAATGGTGGGAGGACTGGGAGACAGTGGAAGGTTGCTGTGGCTCAGCAATGCACCTGGGTTACTGAGCCACAGCAATGTGTGGCCGGGTACAGCTAGTCTATATAAATAAAATGTAAATGTTTGTTAGTTCAAAATCAATGGTCTCCGAATGTTCTTCACAGATTGCTTCGAAATACACTTAAATACAAAAAATCACACTTAAAAAAACTGTTTTTCATGTGAGTGGGGAAATTTTCAAAATCTCTTTACTGATTGCTTTGAAATTTCGACACAACGTTGCATTCGAATAGGCGCGTGTTTTTATATACCTATTGTGTACATGCTTCACCTGTGACAGGGATTTTTTTTTTCTTTTTGGAAAAACAGTGCCATCTGTTAGACGTAAGAACAACACATGCTGTAATCTCTGAAAGTTCTTCACTGATTGCTTAGAAATTTTAACGCAACGTTCCATTCGCATACGAACATGTTTTTTTATTCCTACTATATGAATGTCACGTCTGTGACAGGTAAAAACATGTCTTTTTTAAAAACTGTTTTTCGTGTGAGTTTTCACATCAGGGAAATCTCTGAAACCTCTTTACCGATTGCTTTGAAATTTTGACACAACATTGCATTCGAATATGTGCGTGCTTCTATGTACCTAGTATATAAATGCCACAAACCCGTGACAGGTAAAAAACATACTTTTTTGGAAAAACAGCGCCATCTGTTGCACGTAAAGGCAACACACACTGTATTCTCTGAAAGTTCTACATCGATTGCTTTGAAATTTTGACACAACGCTTCATTCGAATACATGCGTGTTTTTATATGACTACTACATAGATGTTACACCTGTGACAGGTAAAAACATGCATTTTTGGAAAAGTATATTGTGTGTGACCTATTCTGAGTGTGACGTCACCACCTGACCTACCTTATCCTCCGGGTGGCCGCCTCGTAAGGTCGGGTACTCCCAGTCCAAGTCCAGCCCGTCGAAGCCGTATTTCTGCAGGAACTGGACGCAGCTGCTGATGAAGGCTGACCTACTGCTGGCGCCTGCAGCCATCTGTCGAGTGGCAAAGGTTCTGGAGATTGGTCATTGGTCTGTTATGAAAACAGAGGCTGGGTGGGTGATGAGAGGAGCAGCAATTGAGAACCCATCAATGATGGTAATTGCTCGGAGGAAGGTGAATAATGGTGATTATGGCTGGTAGTTGGACAACGTATATGTAAATAATTGTGCTGGGTTCGTAACAACGAGGTCAGGGGGAGAAATTTACACACAACATGTATCACTTGACTTCATTACAAAAAATCGTTACGCTCTCCAACAGGAAGATTTAGTTAGGAATGAATTGGGCTCTTTGGAAATTCATAGTGACAATGTCTAGTGACAGTCTAAAAGTGACCAAATAGTGATCAAAGTAGTTCACAAGGTGGTGGTTCACAGAGTGGTGATGGTGATGATTCACAGGGTTTTGATGGTGCATGACAGCTAGTGGTGACAGGTGAAAGGGGAGAGGTAATGGTGCATGACAGCTAGTGGTGACAGGTGAGGGGTGAGAGGTAATGGTGCATGACAGCTAGTGGTGACAGGTGAAAGGTGAGAGGTAATGGTGCATGACAGCTAGTGGTGACAGGTGAGGGGTGAGAGGTAATGGTGCATGACAGCTAGTGGTGACAGGTGAGGGGTGAGAGGTAATGGTGCATGACAGCTAGTGGTGACAGGTGAGGGGTGAGAGGTAATGGTGCATGGCAGCTAGTGGTGACAGGTGAGGGGTGAGAGGTAATGGTGCATGACAGCTAGTGGTGACAGGTGAGGGGTGAGAGGTAATGGTGCATGGCAGCTAGTGGTGACAGGTGAGAGGTAATGGTGCATGACAGCTAGTGGTGACAGGTGAAAGGTGAGAGGTAATGGTGCATGACAGCTAGTGGTGACAGGTGAGGGGTGAGAGGTAATGGTGCATGACAGCTAGTGGTGACAGGTGAGGGGTGAGAGGTAATGGTGCATGGCAGCTAGTGGTGACAGGTGAGAGGTGAGAGGTAATGGTGCATGACAGCTAGTGGTGACAGGTGAGAGGTGAGAGGTAATGGTGCTTGACAGCTAGTGGTGACAGGTGAGAGGTAATGGTGCATGACAGCTAGTGGTGACAGGTGAGAGGTAGTGGTGCATGACAGCTAGTGGTGACAGGTGAGGGGTGAGAGGTAATGGTGCATGACAGCTAGTGGTGACAGGTGAGAGGTAATGGTGCATGACAGCTAGTGGTGACAGGTGAGGGGTGAGAGGTAATGGTGCATGACAGCTAGTGGTGACAGGTGAGAGGTGAGAGGTAATGGTGCATGACAGCTAGTGGTGACAGGTGAGGGGTGAGAGGTAATGGTGCATGACAGCTAGTGGTGACAGGTGAGGGCTGAGAGGTAATGGTGCATGACAGCTAGTGGTGACAGGTGAGGGGTGAGAGGTAATGGTGCATGACAGCTAGTGGTGACAGGTGAGAGGTGAGAGGTAATGGTGCATGACAGCTAGTGGTGACAGGTGAGGGGTGAGAGGTAATGGTGCATGACAGCTAGTGGTGACAGGTGAGGGGTGGGTGGTGATGGTGCATGACAGCTAGTGGTGACAGGTGAGGGCTGAGAGGTAATGGTGTATGACAGCTAGTGGTGACAGGTGAGAGGTGAGAGGTAATGGTGCATGACAGCTAGTGGTGACAGGTGAGAGGTAATGGTGCATGACAGCTAGTGGTGACAGGTGAGGGGTGGGTGGTAATGGTGCATGACAGCTAGTGGTGACAGGTGAGGGGTGGGTGGTAATGGTGCATGACAGCTAGTGGTGACAGGTGAGGGGTGAGAGGTAATGGTGCATGACAGCTAGTGGTGACAGGTGAGGGGTGGGTGGTAATGGTGCATGACAGCTAGTGGTGACAGGTGAGGGGTGAGAGGTAATGGTGCATGACAGCTAGTGGTGACAGGTGAGAGGTAATGGTGCATGACAGCTAGTGGTGACAGGTGAGGGGTGAGAGGTAATGGTGCATGACAGCTAGTGGTGACAGGTGAGAGGTGAGAGGTAATGGTGCATGACAGCTAGTGGTGACAGGTGAGGGGTGAGAGGTAATGGTGCATGACAGCTAGTGGTGACAGGTGAGGGGTGAGAGGTAATGGTGCATGACAGCTAGTGGTGACAGGTGAGGGGTGAGAGGTAATGGTGCATGACAGCTAGTGGTGAGAGGTGAGAGGTAATGGTGCATGACAGCTAGTGGTGACAGGTGAGGGTGAGAGGTAATGGTGCATGACAGCTAGTGGTGACAGGTGAGGGGTGGGTGGTGATGGTGCATGACAGCTAGTGGTGACAGGTGAGGGGTGAGAGGTAATGGTGCATGGCAGCTAGTGGTGACAGGTGAGAGGTGAGAGGTAATGGTGCATGACAGCTAGTGGTGACAGGTGAGGGGTGAGAGGTAATGGTGCATGGCAGCTAGTGGTGACAGGTGAGAGGTGAGAGGTAATGGTGCATGACAGCTAGTGGTGACAGGTGAAAGGTGAGAGGTAATGGTGCTTGACAGCTAGTGGTGACAGGTGAGGGGTGGGTGGTAATGGTGCATGACAGCTAGTGGTGACAGGTGAGGGGTGAGAGGTAATGGTGCATGACAGCTAGTGGTGACAGGTGAGAGGTGAGAGGTAATGGTGCATGACAGCTAGTGGTGACAGGTGACAGGTGAGAGGTAATGGTGCATGACAGCTAGTGGTGACAGGTGAGGGGTGGGTGGTAATGGTGCATGACAGCTAGTGGTGACAGGTGAGGGCTGAGAGGTAATGGTGCATGACAGCTAGTGGTGACAGGTGAGGGGTGGGTGGTAATGGTGCATGACAGCTAGTGGTGACAGGTGAGGGCTGAGAGGTAATGGTGCATGACAGCTAGTGGTGACAGGTGAGGGGTGGGTGGTAATGGTGCATGACAGCTAGTGGTGACAGGTGAGGGCTGAGAGGTAATGGTGCATGACAGCTAGTGGTGACAGGTGAGGGCTGAGAGGTAATGGTGCATGACAGCTAGTGGTGACAGGTGAGGGCTGAGAGGTAATGGTGCATGACAGCTAGTGGTGACAGGTGAGGGGTGAGAGGTAATGGTGCATGACAGCTAGTGGTGACAGGTGAGGGGTGAGAGGTAATGGTGCATGACAGCTAGTGGTGACAGGTGAGGGCTGAGAGGTAATGGTGCATGACAGCTAGTGGTGACAGGTGAGGGCTGAGAGGTAATGGTGCATGACAGCTAGTGGTGACAGGTGAGGGCTGAGAGGTAATGGTGCATGACAGCTAGTGGTGACAGGTGAAAGGTGAGAGGTAATGGTGCATGACAGCTAGTGGTGACAGGTGAGGGGTGGGTGGTAATGGTGCATGACAGCTAGTGGTGACAGGTGAGGGGTGAGAGGTAATGGTGCATGACAGCTAGTGGTGACAGGTGAGGGCTGAGAGGTAATGGTGCATGACAGCTAGTGGTGACAGGTGAGGGGTGAGAGGTAATGGTGCATGACAGCTAGTGGTGACAGGTGAGGGGTGAGAGGTAATGGTGCATGACAGCTAGTGGTGACAGGTGAGGGCTGAGAGGTAATGGTGCATGACAGCTAGTGGTGACAGGTGAGAGGTGAGAGGTAATGGTGCATGACAGCTAGTGGTGACAGGTGAGGGGTGAGAGGTAATGGTGCATGACAGCTAGTGGTGACAGGTGAGGGCTGAGAGGTAATGGTGCATGACAGCTAGTGGTGACAGGTGAGGGGTGAGAGGTAATGGTGCATGACAGCTAGTGGTGACAGGTGAGGGGTGAGAGGTAATGGTGCATGACAGCTAGTGGTGACAGGTGAGAGGTGAGAGGTAATGGTGCATGACAGCTAGTGGTGACAGGTGAAAGGTGAGAGGTAATGGTGCATGACAGCTAGTGGTGACAGGTGAGGGGTGGGTGGTAATGGTGCATGACAGCTAGTGGTGACAGGTGAGGGGTGAGAGGTAATGGTGCATGACAGCTAGTGGTGACAGGTGAGGGCTGAGAGGTAATGGTGCATGACAGCTAGTGGTGACAGGTGAGGGGTGAGAGGTAATGGTGCATGACAGCTAGTGGTGACAGGTGAGGGGTGGGTGGTAATGGTGCATGACAGCTAGTGGTGACAGGTGAGGGGTGAGAGGTAATGGTGCATGACAGCTAGTGGTGACAGGTGAGGGGTGGGTGGTGATGGTGCATGACAGCTAGTGGTGACAGGTGAGGGGTGAGAGGTAATGGTGCATGACAGCTAGTGGTGACAGGTGAGCAAATTTGTGTTAAATACTTAAGCATTTATCATTATTATTTTGTCATTATTTATAATTACAGAAAAGCTGGATAATTTAAATAGTGACACACAGTTACGAGAATTAGATAAGTAGTTTAGATTGCGATGGTCTATAACCTTGTGTGTGAAGCTGGGGCAGGAAGGTGGGTACCTGAGAGTACTAGTGTGTGAAGCTGGGGCAGGAAGGTGGGTACCTGAGAGTACTAGTGGGTGAAGCAGAGGCAGGAAGGTGGGTACCTGAGGGTACTAGTGGGTGAAGCAGAGGCAGGAAGGTGGGTACCTGAGAGTACTAGTGGGTGAAGCTGGGGCAGGAAGGTGGGTACCTGAGAGTACTAGTGGGTGAAGCTGGGGCAGGAAGGTGGGTACCTGAGAGTACTAGTAGGTGAAGCAGAGGCAGGAAGGTGGGTACCTGAGGGTACTAGTGGGTGAAGCAGAGGCAGGAAGGTGGGTACCTGAGAGTACTAGTGTGTGAAGCAGAGGCAGGAAGGTGGGTACCTGAGAGTACTAGTGGGTGAAGCAGAGGCAGGAAGGTGGGTACCTGAGAGTACTAGTGGGTGAAGCAGAGGCAGGAAGGTGGGTACCTGAGGGTACTAGTGGGTGAAGCAGAGGCAGGAAGGTGGGTACCTGAGAGTACTAGTGGGTGAAGCAGAGGCAGGAAGGTGGGTACCTGAGAGTACTAGTGGGTGAAGCAGAGGCAGGAAGGTGGGTACCTGAGAGTACTAGTGTGTGAAGCTGGGGCAGGAAGGTGGGTACCTGAGAGTACTAGTGGGTGAAGCAGAGGCAGGAAGGTGGGTACCTGAGGGTACTAGTGGGTGAAGCAGAGGCAGGAAGGTGGGTACCTGAGAGTACTAGTGGGTGAAGCTGGGGCAGGAAGGTGGGTACCTGAGAGTACTAGTGGGTGAAGCAGAGGCAGGAAGGTGGGTACCTGAGGGTACTAGTGGGTGAAGCAGAGGCAGGAAGGTGGGTACCTGAGAGTACTAGTGGGTGAAGCAGAGGCAGGAAGGTGGGTACCTGAGAGTACTAGTGGGTGAAGCAGAGGCAGGAAGGTGGGTACCTGAGAGTACTAGTGTGTGAAGCTGGGGCAGGAAGGTGGGTACCTGAGAGTACTAGTGGGTGAAGCAGAGGCAGGAAGGTGGGTACCTGAGGGTACTAGTGGGTGAAGCTGGGGCAGGAAGGTGGGTACCTGAGAGTACTAGTGGGTGAAGCAGAGGCAGGAAGGTGGGTACCTGAGGGTACTAGTGGGTGAAGCAGAGGCAGGAAGGTGGGTACCTGAGACTACTAGTGGGTGAAGCAGAGGCAGGAAGGTGGGTACCTGAGAGTACTAGTGGGTGAAGCAGAGGCAGGAAGGTGGGTACCTGAGGGTACTAGTGGGTGAAGCTGGGGCAGGAAGGTGGGTACCTGAGGGTACTAGTGGGTGAAGCTGGGGCAGGAAGGTGGGTACCTGAGAGTACTAGTGGGTGAAGCTGGGGCAGGAAGGTGGGTACCTGAGAGTACTAGTGGGTGAAGCTGGGGCAGGAAGGTGGGTACCTGAGGGTACTAGTGGGTGAAGCTGGGGCAGGAAGGTGGGTACCTGAGAGTACTAGTGGGTGAAGCTGGGGCAGGAAGGTGGGTACCTGAGAGTACTAGTGGGTGAAGTAGAGGCAGGAAGGTGGGTACCTGAGGGTACTAGTGTGTGAAGCTGGGGCAGGAAGGTGGGTACCTGAGGGTACTAGTGTGTGAAGCTGGGGCAGGAAGGTGGGTACCTGAGGGTACTAGTGTGTGAAGCTGGGGCAGGAAGGTGGGTACCTGAGAGTACTAGTGTGTGAAGCAGAGGCAGGAAGGTGGGTACCTGAGAGTACTAGTGGGTGAAGCAGAGGCAGGAAGGTGGGTACCTGAGAGTACTAGTGGGTGAAGCAGAGGCAGGAAGGTGGGTACCTGAGAGTACTAGTGTGTGAAGCAGAGGCAGGAAGGTGGGTACCTGAGAGTACTAGTGTGTGAAGCAGAGGCAGGAAGGTGGGTACCTGAGAGTACTAGTGGGTGAAGCAGAGGCAGGAAGGTGGGTACCTGAGAGTACTAGTGTGTGAAGCTGGGGCAGGAAGGTGGGTACCTGAGAGTACTAGTGTGTGAAGCAGAGGCAGGAAGGTGGGTACCTGAGAGTACTAGTGTGTGAAGCAGAGGCAGGAAGGTGGGTACCTGAGAGTACTAGTGTGTGAAGCAGAGGCAGGAAGGTGGGTACCTGAGAGTACTAGTGTGTGAAGCTAGTGGGCAGGAAGGTGGGTACCTGAGAGTACTAGTGTGTGAAGCTGGGGCAGGAAGGTGGGTACCTGAGAGTACTAGTGTGTGAGCTGGGGCAGGAAGGTGGGTACTGAGTACTAGTGTGAAGCTGGGGCAGGAAGGTGGGTACCTGAGAGTACTAGTGTGTGAAGCAGAGGCAGGAAGGTGGGTACCTGAGGGTACTAGTGGGTGAAGCAGAGGCAGGAAGGTGGGTACCTGAGAGTACTAGTGTGTGAAGCTGGGGCAGGAAGGTGGGTACCTGAGAGTACTAGTGTGTGAAGCTGGGGCAGGAAGGTGGGTACCTGAGGGTACTAGTGTGTGAAGCAGAGGCAGGAAGGTGGGTACCTGAGGGTACTAGTGGGTGAAGCAGAGGCAGGAAGGTGGGTACCTGAGAGTACTAGTGTGTGAAGCTGGGGCAGGAAGGTGGGTACCTGAGGGTACTAGTGTGTGAAGCTGGGGCAGGAAGGTGGGTACCTGAGAGTACTAGTGTGTGAAGCTGGGGCAGGAAGGTGGGTACCTGAGAGTACTAGTGTGTGAAGCAGAGGCAGGAAGGTGGGTACCTGAGGGTACTAGTGGGTGAAGCAGAGGCAGGAAGGTGGGTACCTGAGAGTACTAGTGGGTGAAGCAGAGGCAGGAAGGTGGGTACCTGAGAGTACTAGTGGGTGAAGCAGAGGCAGGAAGGTGGGTACCTGAGAGTACTAGTGTGTGAAGCAGAGGCAGGAAGGTGGGTACCTGAGGGTACTAGTGGGTGAAGCAGAGGCAGGAAGGTGGGTACCTGAGAGTACTAGTGGGTGAAGCAGAGGCAGGAAGGTGGGTACCTGAGAGTACTAGTGTGTGAAGCAGAGGCAGGAAGGTGGGTACCTGAGGGTACTAGTGGGTGAAGCAGAGGCAGGAAGGTGGGTACCTGAGAGTACTAGTGGGTGAAGCAGAGGCAGGAAGGTGGGTACCTGAGAGTACTAGTGGGTGAAGCAGAGGCAGGAAGGTGGGTACCTGAGAGTACTAGTGGGTGAAGCAGAGGCAGGAAGGTGGGTACCTGAGGGTACTAGTGGGTGAAGCAGAGGCAGGAAGGTGGGTACCTGAGAGTACTAGTGGGTGAAGCAGAGGCAGGAAGGTGGGTACCTGAGGGTACTAGTGGGTGAAGCTGGGGCAGGAAGGTGGGTACCTGAGAGTACTAGTGTGTGAAGCTGGGGCAGGAAGGTGGGTACCTGAGGGTACTAGTGGGTGAAGCAGAGGCAGGAAGGTGGGTACCTGAGAGTACTAGTGTGTGAAGCAGAGGCAGGAAGGTGGGTACCTGAGAGTACTAGTGGGTGAAGCAGAGGCAGGAAGGTGGGTACCTGAGAGTACTAGTGGGTGAAGCAGAGGCAGGAAGGTGGGTACCTGAGAGTACTAGTGGGTGAAGCAGAGGCAGGAAGGTGGGTACCTGAGGGTACTAGTGGGTGAAGCAGAGGCAGGAAGGTGGGTACCTGAGGGTACTAGTGGGTGAAGCAGAGGCAGGAAGGTGGGTACCTGAGAGTACTAGTGGGTGAAGCTGGGGCAGGAAGGTGGGTACCTGAGGGTACTAGTGGGTGAAGCAGAGGCAGGAAGGTGGGTACCTGAGGGTACTAGTGGGTGAAGCAGAGGCAGGAAGGTGGGTACCTGAGGGTACTAGTGGGTGAAGCAGAGGCAGGAAGGTGGGTACCTGAGGGTACTAGTGGGTGAAGCAGAGGCAGGAAGGTGGGTACCTGAGAGTACTAGTGGGTGAAGCTGGGGCAGGAAGGTGGGTACCTGAGAGTACTAGTGGGTGAAGCAGAGGCAGGAAGGTGGGTACCTGAGGGTACTAGTGGGTGAAGCTGGGGCAGGAAGGTGGGTACCTGAGAGTACTAGTGGGTGAAGCAGAGGCAGGCAGGTGGGTACCTGAGAGTACTAGTGGGTGAAGCTGGGGCAGGAAGGTGGGTACCTGAGGGTACTAGTGGGTGAAGCTGGGGCAGGAAGGTGGGTACCTGAGAGTACTAGTGGGTGAAGCTGGGGCAGGAAGGTGGGTACCTGAGGGTACTAGTGGGTGAAGCAGAGGCAGGAAGGTGGGTACCTGAGAGTACTAGTGGGTGAAGCAGAGGCAGGAAGGTGGGTACCTGAGGGTACTAGTGGGTGAAGCTGGGGCAGGAAGGTGGGTACCTGAGAGTACTAGTGGGTGAAGCAGAGGCAGGAAGGTGGGTACCTGAGGGTACTAGTGGGTGAAGCAGAGGCAGGAAGGTGGGTACCTGAGGGTACTAGTGGGTGAAGCAGAGGCAGGAAGGTGGGTACCTGAGAGTACTAGTGTGTGAAGCAGAGGCAGGAAGGTGGGTACCTGAGGGTACTAGTGGGTGAAGCAGAGGCAGGAAGGTGGGTACCTGAGGGTACTAGTGTGTGAAGCAGAGGCAGGAAGGTGGGTACCTGAGGGTACTAGTGTGTGAAGCAGAGGCAGGAAGGTGGGTACCTGAGAGTACTAGTAGGTGAAGCAGAGGCAGGAAGGTGGGTACCTGAGGGTACTAGTAGGTGAAGCAGAGGCAGGAAGGTGGGTACCTGAGGGTACTAGTGGGTGAAGCAGAGGCAGGAAGGTGGGTACCTGAGAGTACTTGGTTGATCCCTCGTTCCAGCCGCCAATGGCCAGTAGCGTCTTGAGGGACGGGTTGATCCTCTTAAGACGCGTGAACCTCAGGTAAGCTCCTGAAAGAACCACATCTTATAAGGACTTAGAGCATCATTCTGGGATCATATGGGAACTCAGTGACGTCAAAAAGCACTTAGAGCTGTTATTTATAATACACAAAATAATATATACTCTCATTCCTATGTTTGGTTGTGTGTCTCGCCGTCTATATGCTTGTTTGTTTGTTTGATAAGATATGTTTGTGTCTCTCTTCTTGCCTGTCTGTCTCTTTGGCCTCTCTTTCTCTCTCTCTCTCTCTCTCTCTCTCTCTCTCTCTCTCTCTCTCTCTCTCTCTCTCTCTCTCTCTCTCTCTAAGCCACCTGGATAGTATATAAGCGTCGACAATTTCTTTGTATATATATTTGTCTTAGTGAGTATCGGTCTTTAATGTTGATCTTAATGTTAATGGCTCAGGTTCACTGAGCACTTACGACATGTGTACTGTACTCCGAGGTCTGTCGTCTATCGCTGTTAGGAGTCGTCTGTTGCTGGAGTTGGACGAGTGTCACTGTTGACGTCATTTACCCAGGTGTTCATACCTGACCACTCAACACATTTCCTCCTGAATCATCACAGTTAAGTCGTAATGAAGAACGTGATGTTGGAAATTATCCAACACTAATACATCATTTTTGTATAATAATGCATCATAATTGTATTAACCATAGTAGTTATTAATTTTACTAATTCGCAGAATTTATCCAATTAATGTTTCTATTGCGACGCAATATTTTACCAAACCCTTCCTACAGTCTCCGTGACGCCGAGAGGCAGCAGCAAGTTGAAACATGAAATATCTCCACATTTATTTGAATCTAAACAGTCCAGTTAATTACTTTCCTTTGCTAAGAATAATCATTTATTTAGTTGTTTTATTTATACAGCGTATTACTGCTTACTGAACTCGCTTATTTAGGTGAATTAACAACTTCAGTGGAAAATATTACGATGTAAAACAATTCTGTATAATATTCTTCTAGTTCATTTTACGCAGTCTTAATAAGCTGACTTGCATTATGCAAAAATATATTGCACCTTAATGCTTTCATCAGTGACATGAACACTTGTCATAATTCCTTACTTCCCTAATTAATTACAAGTAAATAAAACACTTTACACTCGAGAATACTTTGGAGCGTTCTGCGCATGCGTATCGCAGCCAGGGAGGAAGGAGACGGGATTCCTACAAGCGACGCCATATTAGCAGCGTGTTAGCAGCGTGCACAAAAGAGAGGCGCCATTGCAAGGAACCTGCTTAGTTTTATTTTATTCGCTCCTACCACCACGAGAGCGGTGCCACGACCACCACGAGAGCGGTGCCACGACCACCACGAGAGCTGTGCCACGTTATTTTGGTACATAACGGCAGTGTCCTGGAACTAATTAATTCTCCGGCCCGTAGTTGACGTCTTAGCAACAGCAGTTTCAAGACAGAGGACTGGAATCGTTCCCTCGACCAACGGACACTTGGCCCAACAACTATTAATTACCTTTTACTTAACAATGTGTTCACATGTTAATATTTAGGCTAGTTGTCGTTTGGCCATTTATTTACAACAAAAATCCAGTACGTTTACTCTCTAGCTGTATTCCATAATTTATATAGGAATATATTTCATTAATGTCTGTAGAAGAATTCTACAGTGTCAGATATATCGTTTAAATCATATAAGGAAAAATTCCGTATTATTAGATATATCTTTCATTATTTATGTTGAAGATTTTTACATTGTAATTGTCTTGCAGCTCCCGAGACCACGTCAACTGAGGAGCTAGGCTACCCGCTAGGAGCTAGGCTACCCGCTAGGAGCTAGGCTACCCGCTAGGAGCTAGGCTACCCGCTAGGAGCTAGGCTACCCGCTAGGAGCTAGGCTACCCGCTAGGAGCTAGGCTACCCGCTAGGAGCTAGGCTACCCCACCTTCACGTCCAACAATTTGCCCGATGCAATAAGTCGTCAGTGGAGCGTGGCAACTGATTTCACATCTCTTATTTTCACAGCTAAGCTGTTAATTGTTGTTTGTAGAGACATAATAACTTAGCTACCTTAATGATCTCCTAATGAGATCAATATTACTAACCCATTAATTTGGTTATATATTTTACCATATTACTGTAGTATCTTGAGGTACATTTGCCTCTAATTATTATTATATAATCCATTTAATTTTAATTTACATTTAGTTACTTCAGTGAAGAACCAGCACTGAAATCATGCTTGGGATATATTAATCTTTTGGCATGTAACCCCCCATTTTGGGTGAGTGAATTTGACTCATAATATACAGTCCCTTTAATATTCAATGTATTATTAATTAATAACATCCATAGGGCACTAGTTCATGGAATTAATATCAAACCACTTGCTCTACCTAGTTTTCCACTTTTTCACAAAAAGTGGTGGTCCTTCGTAGCTATCGAAAATAATATCAATTTAAATGATTTACATGAGTCAAGTTTTCCCACACAAAATTTGGTCCTTAACGAACCGGTTCAATCACAATTAATATTAAAATCCATACCGGTTCTCAAAGCCCAAACCAAATTTAACTAACACCAATTATTATGTGTTACCATTGGTAGGTTATACAAACATTTCATTTACGACTGTCAGCAGACTGTCCATATTATAGCCTAAACCACATTAAATCTATGATTACTGATTCACCTAAGTCAGTAAATTCATAAATATTTCAGGAGCCCAGTTTACTAACCTAAATTATTGTTCTCATAAATTCATTATTCATTACAAACCCTGATAACATTATATTCCTCAATTAGGAAGTACAGTCAGGTGTTAAACATTATTTACGAGAGTAGAATACTTGCCACACACAAGTAATAACCTTTTGTTTATTAAATCTCTTATACACATATTTTTTACAAGTGTATATACTACATAAAAAAACACAAAATATCCCCAAAAACATAGCACTATTTTACACGTTATTACACCACATATATTGTAGTTATGCTAACCCAACAGAGGCAGGATATTTTAGACTGCAATTGTACTGTGATTCGTACAAATTCAGCCTAAACTATTAGCTGCATTAATAGGTAGAATTATTACCTATCTAGTACTGTTAGACAATGCTGGTGTATTAATATTGTATGTTGTGCAAACCCTAAGTTGGGTGAAACCTCTTATTATACTCAATTGTATAATTATGTTTATCACATAATTTTTGTGTTCATCTTTGAGTGTTACTGAATGTCACTATATCCATTCAAAGCCGATAAAGATGAGCTAAGCCGAGCAAATCTCATAGTGATATTCAAGTACTACTCAAATCTTAGTTCCTCCTGTTAGGTAGGTAACCCAACCTCCAAATGAGATAAACTAAAATCAACCTAATCAAGAATAAATTAGGCTGTTAATAACCATACCTGCTCTATATATGTGAGCAAGTACCATAGCTCTCCAAGTAGCTATATAAGCCCTATAAGGCTCAAACCCTAGCCAACATAGCTGCTCCAGAATGAAATGGAAGAAACTTGAAAGGTTTTCAAAGTCACTTATCAAGACTACTTGAGAAATGTGATAACTGGTTAGGAATTAACCCAGTTGATATTTCCAGGCTAAGAATTTCCACAAACGTGGCTAGCCAAAAATATGACCAAGTAGAGGATATAATCGAGTCTTATAGGAACATACTCCTTGTCAGTGAAGACAAAAATTCAGGCCTAATTAGAGCATTATCACAAAGTGCTTGAGACCAAATGTTCCTAATTGGTTAGAACATTTTTAACGTTTACCTATACCCCAGCAAGCAAACAGCTCAGATGAAATACATGAGCTACTTCAAAATCAGGAGATTCCTCTAATTAAATTAGATCCTTACACTGGATCTGTAATTGTGCAACCTTCATTTTCTACAGACTCATCTAATACAACTTCACATAATAGTACATCCACAGAGTCTGAACAGCTTTCAGAAAGCTCATCTCTATAATCCCTGGATTCTGTAAATTCAATACAGAAAGCTACTGAATTAACCAGTCTCTCACATGAACCCAGAGAAACAAGTGAAGCTGCAGATAAAACTCCAAGCGAAGCTGCAGATGAAACTCCAAGAGAAGCTGCAACAGAGCATGGAGCTGAAACAGAAGATGAGGAAGCAGCTGAAGCTGGAATAGAAGCTGAAGCTATAGTAAAGGCTGAAACTGTATTTAAAGCTGAGGCTAAACAAGAAGCCTTAAGCAAAACTAGTGATAATCAAAATTACAAAATTACTCACACCAGCCTCCTAGAGTTGATGCTGAACTCATCAGCATCAATCAAACCATCCAGCTCTCTAGGGCAAGTGCTGATAATGAGAAGACTGATATAAACCTCGTACACCAATTATTAGACTTATCTCAACCAGATCAATAAGTTGACTCCTTACAAGCTGTTAGTTTTCAGCTTGAGTTACTGTTAAATTCCTTCAGCAAGGAGGTGGAACACCCCACTGCTGAGTGGATGACCAAAATTATCATCCAGAGAAAATTGTCTGGTGAGATACTCAATGAATTATACACATACCAGAATGGTACTGTCCTGTCAATGCAGGATATATTTACGGGTTTGCATAATGTGGTCAACTGTCAACAAGCAAACCAGGCACTTAATGCCTATTCTGAATCTACAGAAACCGTACCCATATTAGGTTCCTTACCTGAAACTCCTAAAGTGACACAGTCATTAGGTAATAAGGCTACTAATAACCAATGTAATACCAACAATGATATTAATAAATTAATCAGCAGTAAATCAATTCTCCAGCAACAAGCTAAATGAGAAACACAGCTGAGTAATAAACCCAGATTGAGCCTGGTACAATTAGTATTCGCCGAGATGTTTTATAGCTCTCAGTGGAAAATTAGTGGTCCATAACCTAAACAGGTACATGTCACAGCGACCAAGCCAGTGAACTCACTGTAGACTAAGAATTATTTTCGACAAGTAATAATTGACCACAGTCTCACTAGATAATCAGTATTAGGCTAGAGGATCTAGCACTCCATAGGAAATTAATAGTATTAAGCTAGAGAATCTAGCACTCCCTAGGTAATTAATAATATTAGGCTAGAGAATCTAGCACTCCCTAGGTAATTAATAATATTAGGCTAGAGAATCTAGCACTCCCTAGGTAATTAATAATATAAGGCTAGAGAATCTAGCACCCAATGCACCCAGCATTTCATGAATTTAACAGTAACACGAAGTCATCAAGAAGCTTCTACACCTGCAAATTACCCAGGACCAAGGTTCATTATACCTTGGTCGTTGTTTTGGTCATAATGAAGGACCTTGTTACCTTTCCCGTAGTTGTCATAGAGGTCGTTGTAGGGGTCGAGGCTGACGATGGTGTTGGAGGACTCTTGAAGGCCAGCGAAGCCATAGATGAGGTGAGTACACAGGTAAGGGTCAATGTTCTCCACGTCAAACTTGCCTTCACCAGGCCGGTATACGGCCCACGACCCGTAGTAACACGCCATCACTCGCTCCTCTGCCGGGGGTAAACCCATCAGTATACCGCTCATACATGCTTTACCAACAAAAAATGAAATATAGGTGGATGATATAAGACAAGAGACGTGTGAAAAATAACAGATTGATGCAAGGATTTTTTATGATATATAAAAAGATGACCCAAAAAATTAAATACAAAAGGAAAAATCAATGAATACATGATAAATATATATGCATTTGGGGTTTGGTCAACATATATGTATTATCTGATAAGAATACGAATAATACATGAATGTTTAACAGATGATGCAACAATGGAAATTTAAAGAAACTTCCCAAATGTTATGTGTTTTTTAATATATTTTTCCCCAACCAACTTGATTATGCTTCCTGTGGCCAGTAACCCTGAGTACTGGACATATTGTATCAGTTCTCTTCCTATGAATATATCGAGGCTATTTGTTGACAGCATATATGATGTTGTTGACAGCATATATGATGCTGTTGACTGCATATATGATGCTGTTGACAGCATATATGATGCTGTTGACTGCATATATGATGCTGTTGACAGCATATATGATGCTGTTGACAGCATATATGATGTTGTTGATAGCATATATGATGTTGTTGACAGCATATATGATGCTGTTGACAGCATATATGATGCTGTTGACAGCATATATGATGCTGTTGACAGCATATATGATGCTGTTGACAGCATATATGATGCTCTTGACTGCATATATGATGCTGTTGACAGCATATATGATGCTGTTGACAGCATATATGATGCTCTTGACCGCATGTATGCTGTTGAAGGTCAAGAAAAACGCCTGCCTCACGCAAGTGGTTCGTTCAGGTTAATGTTGAGTACAATGTCCAATATTTCATAGTGAAAGGAAAAAGATGGGTTGAAGAATAATGTTGTGGTGAGTGACACTAGGATGAAGCAACTGGAGACAGGAGAGCAGCATTAAGTAATAACAATGTGGAAATGAATCGCTACTAACAGTGACTCTTTTGGGGCTGAGGGAGATAACAGCTCCGGATACGAGCTCGCTGACTCTTTTGGGGCTGAGGGAGATAACAGCTCTGGATACGAGCTCGCTGACTCTTTTGGGGCTGAGGGAGATAACAGCTCTGGATACGAGCTCGCTGACTCTTTTGGGGCTGAGGGAGATAACAGCTCTGCATACGAGCTCGCTGAAGGAGCCTTCTTCATGGAGTATAATGTTTTATTTATTTATTTATTTATTTATTTATTTATTTATTTATTTATATACAAGAAGGTACATTGGGATTGTGAGGATATATAGCATAGTAATTACATTCTTGTAAAGCCACTATTACGCGCAGCGTTTCGGGCAAGGTCCTTAATTTAAGAAAATTTTAAGTAGGTAAATACTAGCAAAATTTATAAAAATGATAACTGGTGCATAGCAAGAAAAAAATAAAAGATGAGAGAAATTTGTAGAAGATGAGAGACGTTTGTAACACATGGGATCCACAAAGAGAACAGATCAGGGGAAAACCATTAAAAGTTAATTAGATTGGGATACTAGAGGTCGGTACACTAAAGGACGTGGAGATGGACGAGAAGAGAAGAGGAGCAACGCACTTGGAGAAGACAGCAGTCATTAGAGATGAACAACTTTCATGAATTTGTTAGTATTACTAGAGACTAATATGAGAGATGAGCTGAAAATGATAGTACCTTGGCCGAACTTCATAACGGAGAAAGTGATAATAAAGTGATAGAGGAGAGAAAACAAGTAGGAGAGACGAGAGCACAGAAGTAATGTCACAGGAAGGAGAGATAGAGGATAGTTCTCTTCTCTCACTATGCAGAAGAGAACATACATCCACAGAAGGGCTGTATCTGTGTCATAGAGGAACTGACATGGAAACTTGTGAGGAATGATGGCGACGGCGCCTGAGTCCATCTTAACACCTTTCTCCCTCCCTCCAGGGTCTCTCTCACTACCTCCAGGGTCTCTCTCACTCCCTCCAGGGTCTCTCTCACTACCTCCAGGGTCTCTCTCACTACCTCCAGGGTCTCTCTCACTCCCTCCAGGGTCTCTCTCACTACCTCCAGGGTCTCTCTCACTACCTCCAGGGTCTCTCTCACTACCTCCAGGGTCTCTCTCACTACCTCCAGGGTCTCTCTCACTACCTCCAGGGTCTCTCTCACTCCCTCCAGGGTCTCTCTCACTCCCTCCAGGGTCTCTCTCACTACCTCCAGGGTCTCTCTCACTACCTCCAGGGTCTCTCTCACTCCCTCCAGGGTCTCTCTCACTACCTCCAGGTTCTCTCTCACTCCCTCCAGGGTCTCTCTCACTCCCTCCAGGTTCTCTCTCACTCCCTCCAGGGTCTCTCTCACTCCCTCCAGGGTCTCTCTCACTCCCTCCAGGGTCTCTCTCTCACTCCCTCCAGGGTCTCTCTCACTCCCTCCAGGGTCTCTCTCACTCCCTCCAGGGTCTCTCTCACTCCCTCCAGGGTCTCTCTCACTCCCTCCAGGGGTCTCTCTCACTCCCTCCAGGGTCTCTCTCACTCCCTCCAGGGTCTCTCTCACTCCCTCCAGGGTCTCTCTCACTCCCTCCAGGGTCTCTCGCACCACCTCCAGGGTCTCTCTCACTACCTCCAGGGTCTCTCTCACTCCCTCCAGGGTCTCTCTCACTACCTCCAGGTTCTCTCTCACTCCCACCTCCAGGGTCTCCTCCAGGGTCTCTCTCACTCCCTCCAGGGTCTCTCTCACTCCCTCCAGGGTCTCTCTCACTCCCTCCAGGGGTCTCTCTCACTCCCTCTCAGGGTCTCTCTTGACTCCCACCTCCAGGGTCTCTCTCATCCACACACTCCCTCCAGGGTCTCTCTCACCACCTCCAGGGGTCTCTCTCATCCACACACTGCATGAAGGGGGCTCCCACCTCCAGGGGTCTCTCTCATCCACACACTGCATGAAGGGGGCTCCCACCTCCAGGGGTCTCTCTCATCCACACACTGCATGAAGGGGGCTCCCACCTCCAGGGGTCTCTCTCATCCACACACTGCATGAGAGGGCTCCCACCGACTATTTACCTAAGGTTAGGATATGTATTTTATAAAATATGGATGTTATCAGGTAACATCTACAGTTTTGTGTAATATTTAAGTAATCCATGATGGCGGTTGGTACAGCTCTGACGTCATAGCCATATATAATGGTTTACAGGTCACGTAACGGAGTAGCCGAAGAGAGAATCTGCATCACTGTAATAGAGAAACGTTTAGAGGGATGATCTCAGCTGTATAACACTGAGGAAATGTAGGAAAGGACCCTCAGGAGTAAGAAAGTGTCCAAGAGCAACAGGATAGATTACAGAAAGTGGAAGAGGAAAAGGAAGAGAAGATAAGGAGGGCAACGAAGGAGAACATGAAACAAGGAGAGAATGTGTCTCAACCACGGAAAACAAGACCAGAGAAAACATTTGCACAATGATCAAAGTCTCTCTGGGAGCGCAGATCATTACACCAATAACGAGAGCAGTTGGAGGCAGATATTAGAGAGAGAACACTGTGATAATCAGTGTACCAGAGCCAGGAAAACGCCAAATAGACAAGATTCAGAGATGGCAATGCGTGACCTTCCCAGGAGGTCACAGCCTTCCCAGGAGGTCACAGCCTTCCCAGGAGGTCACAGCCTTCCCAGGAGGTCGTGGCCTTCCTAGGAGGTCACAGCCTTCCCAGGAAGTCACAGCCTTCCCAGGAAGTCGTGGCCTTCCCAGGAGGTCATGACCTTCCCAGGAGGTCACGGCCTTCCCAGGAGGTCACGACCTTCCCAGGAGGTCGCGGCCTTCCCAGGAGGTCATGACCTTCCCAGGAGGTCACGGCCTTCCCAGGAGGTCGCGGCCTTCCCAGGAGGTCATGACCTTCCCAGGAGGTCACGACCTTCCTAGGAGGTCGTGGCCTTCCCAGGAGGTCATGACGTTCCCAGGAGGTCATACTTTCCCAGGAGGTCACAGTCTTCCCAGGAGGCCATGACCTTCCAAGGAGGTCATGACCTTCCCAGGAGGTCACGACCTTCCCAGGAGGTCATGACCTTCCCAGGAGGTCATGACCTTCCCAGGAGGTCACTACCTTCCCAGGAGGTCACGGCCTTCCCAGGTCACGGCCTTCCCAGGAGGTCATGGCCTTCCCAGGAGGTCACTACCTTCTCAGGAGGTCGCTGCCTTCCCAGGAGGTCGCGGCCTTCCCAGGAGGTCACGGCCTTCCCAGGAGGTCACGGCCTTCCCAGGAGGTCACGGCCTTCCCAGGAGGTCACGGCCTTCCCAGGAGGTCACGGCCTTCCCAGGAGGTCGCGGCCTTCCCAGGAGGTCGCAGCCTTCCCAGGAGGTCGCGGTCTTCCCAGGAGGTCGCGGCCTTCCCAGGAGGTCGCGGCCTTCCCAGGAGGTCGCGGCCTTCCCAGGAGGTCGCGGTCTTCCCAGGAGGTCGCGGCCTTCCCAGGAGGTCGCGGCCTTCCCAGGAGGTCGCGGTCTTCCCAGGAGGTCGCGGCCTTCCCAGGAGGTCGTGGCTTTCCCAGAAGGTCGCAGCCTTCCCAGGAGGTCGCGGTCTTCCCAGGAGGTCGCAGCCTTCCCAGGAGGTCGCGGCTTTCTCAGAAGGTCGCTGCCTTCCCAGGAGGTCGCTGCATTCCCAGGAGGTCGCGGTCTTCCCAGGAGGTCGCGGTCTTCCCAGGAGGTCGCGGCCTTCCCAGGAGGTCGTGGCCTTCCCAGGAGGTCGCGGTCTTCCCAGGAGGTCGCGGTCTTCCCAGGAGGTCGCAGCCTTCCCAGGAGGTCGCGGTCTTCCCAGGAGGTCGCGGCCTTCCCAGGAGGTCGCGGCCTTCCCAGGAGGTCGAGGCCTTCCCAGGAGGTCGTGACCTTCCCAGGAGGTCGCGGCCTTCCCAGGAGGTCGCGGCCATCCAGGAGGTCGTGGCCTTCCCAGGAGGTCACAACCTTCTCAGGAGGTCGCGGCCTTCCCAGGAGGTCGCGGCCTTCCCAGGAGGTCACGACCTTCCCAGGAGGT